CAGCCTCTCTGGGGCTCCTCTCTGCTGGAAGTTTTAATGAAAAAGTGCACTTCTGCTTACGGTTCCTCTTCGCAATGAGGTAGAGGGCATCTTCTGCTTCACTCAGCCGACCTTGTGAATACAGCCAACGGGGGGACTCTGGAATGAATCTGAAACACACACATGCACACACTGCAGAGCGTTTTAGGGCCCTTCTCTTCTACAAGGCTGGACTTGCCTATGGAAATAAGGCTGAAATATGTTCCTGTATAACAGTATTTTGGGTTTAGAATTCATTTATTATAAATATAGAGAAAGCATGCTGTAAAAATGCTCAAAATTTCTTGGTATTTAACTTGTATGTATACATTATTTTATTTTGCTGAATATTACACAAGTTACAACATTATTAGGACTCTGTCTCAGAGGAATGTAAAGAGCCATCACACTACTAAGAGTGAACAAGAGGCTTCTGTAACACCAACTAGTTGCCTCATCTTCCTCATGCTCTAGCATTGTCCTGAACTCCTGCCCACAGACAGTGAGGCAGCAGCTGCACAAAAGCCAAAATCTTGTTCCCATGTGCAAAGTTCATTTGAAGGATCTCATCTCCAACATTACCTGAAAAACAAATAATCTTCTACTATTTTCAGATGCCCAGAACTAACTTAAACTTCAGTCTTTTCACAGAAGCTAAGGTTTTTGTCTCTGCCCAGAAGGGGCATTCTTCCCCTAAATTAAAAAAAAAAAAAAAGTGATTCTGTGCTTACTAGAAAGACTAGCAAGGAACATTTTTTTTTTGGCCACAATAAAAAAAAAATCCAGCAACATTTTCTTTCAAGTAAGGCAGGGAGGGAGGGCAGTGTGAAATTTGGATTCAAAAATCTTTACTGACTGTAAGACAGGTCTCTAAGCACAGCTTTGAAGTTCTGTGCATAAAAGACCTCCAAAAAATTACATATCATACCATAACCTGAAAGTTTAAGGCCTTTTTTTTTTCCCACTCCCAAACACCACTTGAAATTTCAGAAACATCAACTCTGCTTTAACCAAGTAATCATGCTCTAAGATTTCTCCCTGGCAGGTATGAATTTGGATGGTTTCTGGAAAGGTATGTTGACTTTTTAAACAAAGAACACTATTCTGAAAGTTAGTTACTGAAGTTAAATATATGTTGGAAGGAAAAAAAGCCTCAAGTTTAAAGACTGACTAGATTTCCTTTTTTTATCTCTTCATGTCACATCACACGCCTTTCAATGCAGATATCCATAAGCACAAAAACCTCACTCCTAAATAAACAAACTTTTCATCCTATTCTTTCCTAAGCAGTAAGTTCAGAAAATAAAGTTGCCCATTCTTCCCTTTTGCACATCACCTTTAAGACTATATGTACAACATTGATGCTGTTCTTTCTGTGTAAGCACACAGGCAGGTTAGTAGAGAAACATTGTGTTATCAGAAAATCACAAAAATGCTTCCATATCACTCAACATGCATCCACAGTTTGTTGTTGCAGATGTGTAGCAGACACTTTGGAGCATCTACATAGGCCAGCTGGAGAACAGGACTATCACACTACAGATAGGTCTACAGTAACAATGCACATACAACAGAACATCTACTTACATTTTCAGATAATGCAGCACTGCTATATAGAGAAAGAATAGAATATGCAGTGGAGGTTAAAAGAAATACTTAGTTACACCACATCAGATCATCCTAGAAAAACTCCTTGACCTAGTTGGATTTTCTCTCATATTTGATATCTTTTTTGAGGAAGTCCAGTTTAAAAAATAACTTACAGAGACAGGAGAAAGACTACAGTTCCTTCCAGGTTAACCACAACAGCCAGAGTCCTCCAGGAACGAATGAAGTACCCTAACAGGGCATACTGGGCAATTCCCACAGCAAAGAATAAGCCACCAATGGATCCTAATACATGACAGGAACAAACAAACAAACCAAAAAAAAAAAAAAAACAAGCAAATATTATCACTCCTCCAAGCAACATTGCTAGCTCTCAGGATCAGACACAAAATACTGAGTGGGTTTTTGTTAATGAAATTGTAACAGAGGAAAAATAATAGCTATCAGATCAAACATATATTTTGCATTCAAACACTACACAAGCTCTGTTTTGCAGAGTCCTAAATGCTGGTAGATTGAGCTCAACCATCATGAACCACTGATGGGGTATTTAGCTGTGTAACAGGCCCAGGGGATTTGCTTTGGTGTGTTTTAAGTGCCACGAAAGGCAGAAATCTATAAATTCTAGCAATAAGCACTGTCACTCAAACTCACCTGCTAATGCCCAGTAGGCAGTGCCCACACACTCGTTCAGCAGTACGAAGGCCACTAGTGACATCCCACCATTCATCACCCCAACCAAGAAGCGAGAGATGGCAAAGAATTCATAGGAAGGTGAGAATCCATTTGCAATGGCAAACAGGATGTCAAGGGCAAAACCTGGAGAACAAGGCAAAAGGTTTTAGTTCAGAAGAATATCCAAAGAAAAACAGAAGCAGCCATCAGTGTTTTTTACTTGATGCTCAGTGACATCTGTCCTAAGTAATCTCATTGAACTGTAGAATGCTGCTGCTTACCACAGATTTGGGCAGAAATGTATCCCACGGCTATGCCATAAATGAACGGAACACAAAACGAGTGACTGCTGGTACATGATTCACAGTGCTAAACTCTTGCGTTCATTTCACGGCAGTCAGTTTTTCACATCCTCAAAACTACTGCATGTCTTCAGTTAAGATGGTTTGATATTTATCCCCATACAGAAGTCAGACTAAACATACGATTAAACATTTCCCCTCATTCTTGGAAAGCAGCCCATCATGGGGTAGCACACAGCTCATCAGCACTGCATACAGACCCCCCTTCATTTGCTCTGAATGAACAAGGTTATTCAGAGTAATTTGCTTATTTTTTTAATTGCAAGTGCTCACTCACTGACTGACAAGTCAGCTTTACAGATATGTACAGAAAATATGAAACTCCAGAAAGTGTTAAGTCTGAAGATATCAATAAATCTTACCAATGATAAAAAACATTGAGGTTTACAACTACATAAAAATGAAATCACATAGACAGGAGTAAAGGGTACAGCAAACAAGTCATATATCTAACAACATTGCTAATAAATTAGTATAAATACTAACTCTAGTCTGCAAAGATACTACGTGCATGACTACCGCCAAATGGACTCAACTTTATGGTGTAAGATCTTATGGTAAGATTCCTAAATCTAGAATATCCCCTAGACATTCAGGTGCTGATTTAAATAGACAAATATTAATTACTTGTCCTTATGTTCCTCTAGTATATTGAGGAAGAAAAAGAACAAAAAACATAGCAGATGATTCACTGCTATGTATGAAGCTCTCTTCTCACACAGAATCTGAGCTCTTGCCATGGATCATCAGAGACAAGACACCAACACATTTTGTTAGGTGGCATTGGTTACCTGTAAGATAGACTTTCTTCCTTCCGAAGCGATCTGAGAGCTGGCCAAAGGAAATGACTCCAACAAAAACACCACTGAAGAAGAAAGAACTGGCAGCACTGACTTTGTATGATGTGTTGCCAATTAAAAACCACTGGAAGGAGAAATAAAAGGAATGTTAACTGAAGTACTAAAGGTTCACAAGCAGATAATACTTGCTAAAGCATTACAAACTTTAAAGGATGCCAGACTTTGGCAAAGTCTGCTATGCATTATTTTTGGTCAATTAAATAATAGCCACTGAAACACAACTGCGGTCTTCAGACTCACTGTGGGTATTAACCAAGAGCATAGTTTCTCCTTTAATTCGGAACTCAAGGATAGAATCCTCATGATTTTTTTTTCTTTCACTGAAACACAATATTTCTTGCTTGGCAGGTAAGTTGATGATTATAGCATTTTTTTCCTTCAATAATATCTTGCAATCTCCTCCTCAATCTTCTCTGCTCCATCAAAACCCCATTAGATATCCTTTCTAGCAAAACCCCTATGATTTCAAAATTCAGTCATAAACTATCTTACCATAAGGAGCAGAGCCATGCAATTAAAGCTGACAAGATTAGAGGGCTAGCAAAACAAAATCCTTCAGAAACACTGTGAAAATTACTTGCCTAACCCCATATATGCTTCATTTTGAACTGTTGCTTAAATGGTGAGGTATTTACTATTATGGTCCATAATGTGGCCATAAATCAAGACTCTGACAAAATTCACTTCTAAAACTAACCATGTGATCAAAAAGATCAGTGTTTGAAGTCTCCCTAGATTTAAAACACAACTGCCAGAAAAATATATTTCTATAGTAATAACATATGATGAGAACAATTTTATCTTGAAACAGCATGGTCAGTCTACTTTATAATAGCTACCTAAATCATGCCCTCATTTTTGATATAAACGTTAAGGAAGACTGTCAGCACTGAAGCTCAGCCATGTTAGGTATTTTCTGCACTATTCTGAGATCAAGGGATAAATTTGCTTATGGTTAAGAGGAACTTATCCTGTGAGTTTATTTCAATGGCTAGGGGCCCTTTAAGGGACTTGAGACTTTCCTCTTCTATATGAAGCACATTGTACAAACCCAGAAGAGCTCATAAATTGAGCATTATTGAATCAAAATATTTCTCAGAGTAATTTTTTAGTGGCTGCATTATTAGTAAGTGATGCTACAAGATAAGCAGATAAGCTTTAAGAAGATGCTTCTCTAATGCAGAAGTACCCTTATAAATCAGGCATGAAACAGGATATTCATCAGATTCGCCAAAAATAAAATCTTTTTTTTTCCCCAAAAAAATACACAATGCTTGTAATTATCAACAAAATATTTTCCAAATATGCAACACACAGGACTAGTGAATTCTGAACAAAGCACATTTCAACAGTTGGATATAGGAGAGACAACAGAATTTTATAAACATGGACCTTTGAAATAAAATCTATGCTTTTCAGTAAAGTCCCAAACATACAAGATTGTTGGGAAGTAATTCTTTTTTAAAAAATGTATTTTTAAATTAAATTTTGTTCTTTACCTATGTTTCACATCTATGAAACTAAAGCACATAAACTTTTTAAAATTTATGCCCTAAACAGTGCTAGATGCCACAAATCTATTTGAACTTGTTAAGTTTAAGAGAAGATGATTCTTGGATAAAAACTAAGCAAAGAAACACACCCAGTTCCAGAGAAGATTTAAAAACCTTATTGACATTGGCTTTAAATTACATTTAAATAGAAACCTGCCATCTACTAGACTTTTAAATTCAAAGAAGACATAAGTACCCATTCTTTGCTACCAAGAATAAGGACCAGTGGCTGTTGTACACAAAATGCTTGTTTGGTTCTTTTCCAAAATGGGATTTTTTACTACTGTGATCTTAACTAACAAAGTTTTAGTACTTCAGAGGGCTAGTTTAAATAGCAGTAATGCTTACAGATAACAACCACAAGTTTCCAAATGATAGCGCACTAGTCTTAACTGTACAGCTCTAATTCAGTGCAATTGAGTCTTATAACTGAGAGGGCTCTTGCACAGGACAATTTGACATTAGACGATTGATGGCCCCATGAAGGGCAGGTGCTGCACACATCACAGTGTACAAGTCAGGATCACTTATTTAGGGACTGTGGCTAGACTACAAAAAAGGAGACCTACATAGCACAGAGGCCACACTTAGATAAAGGTTGCTCAAGGATAGCTCCCCATATCTGCTCCCCATATCTGGAGATTTTGCTCCCCATATCTGGGGTTGCAAAAACCTTGCAAAAGCCACTTTCTCTGCACTTCCTCCACTGCTTGACAGCTGCATGGTGGGTGCACTGCATTCATCTGACCTTAAGGGAATGTCAAAAGCTGGCCAGAAAGAGCTCAGGCTCCATGCTGATTTTTGAACACACAATTCCAGCACAGTTCTGGAGCCAGGCTACAGCATCCAATATGTAACTCAGATATGGAAAAGGAACCAAGTGGTCAAGATCTATATTCAAGTAAAGGTAGTTCTTTGTTGCCAGTAAACATACAAATAGATTTTACTTGTTCTCTACTGGGACTATAGCACCTGTTTCATTTGCTAAGCAAAACATGCATTGATATGGAAGAAAGAAGCAGTATTGGCAGCTCCCATACACTTGGCCCCATGAAATCCATACTGCTGCGCAGGACGCAGTGGAACAAGCTTCCTTCTTACCTCGGAGGCTATTGATGTGAAGCTGCTGCTGAAGTGCACGTGCTTGTGGACCTCGCTGCCATTGGCAGTGAGCAGCCATTCCCCAAAGGCTCTCTGCTCGCTCGCCGACTGGTTGCTGTGGCTCTGGTTGGCCAAGAGCTCTTCGAGATCCCAGTGGTAGGGAGGAGTTGCCCCCACCAGGGCGATAAGGATGGCTTCAGTGGCCACATAGAGCTGGAATGAAGCACAAGCAGCCATCAAAGATGCTAAACATACATCCAAACAAGCAGCCCTTCCTCTACAGTCAGATCAAGTAAGTATTAAAAGTAAATAAATAAATAAATCCTACTTTATCTTCTCCTTTAACTACATCATCAACTACAGGATGCTGTGTCTCATCTCTATCTATCAAATATCGCACACCAAAGAACCACAACTTCAGCCCAGGAGATCTTACTGCCTAGATCATTTGAGAGAAAGGAACTCCCTCCTGACACTTTTTCTCAGAGATCTCATATCTTCTCATATCTTAACCTATCTTCATATCTAACCTTTTCCCAGTTTCACCAAGATTAACTCTTTCTCCTTTGTTATCTTCTGTGAACTTGTTTTACTCTAAAAGAGAAATAGATGAACACGTATATATGTGCATATATACACACAGAGTATATACAGTGATTAACAGCTGCTTTTGTTCAGGAAAAAAAAGATAAACAAACCTGCTGCTCTAATCTGGTCGAGAGCAAGGTCACTCCAGCTTGCTCAGAACAGCCACAGGCCACTGCTCTTTTCCCACCCCACCTCCTGTTACATCTCCTCCTAAATTCCAGTGTTTTAGACTTATTTTAACAACAGAAGTCCCATGAGTTCTGTAATAAAAATAAATAAATAAAAAGCTAAACAAACAAACAAAAACAATGCTTAAAGTCTTCTGACACAGAAAATAAGTTGGTAGTGATACAGACACCCACATTCTCCAAAGAGAAATGGTTCCTGACTCAGGAGAATGGGAAGAGAATCTTGGAATTGTGCTGAAAGCAAAACTGAAAAGCCCTTTTCAGCTCTGTGTATCAGCTGCGCAGTCAGTTACATCCAGGTCTAAAAGAGAATTACTACTAGGTTAACATACAGCCTTGACTTATTGCACAACAGCATTTTCCATCCATTAGTTCCTTGATGTACTCCACAAGGTAAGCTCCTACTGCTGTGGAAGAAGGTAAATATGGATTTCTGAGGTTCATTCCCTTTCATATTTTTTTAATATAAAGTTACTGATACTCAAAAGGGATTTGGAAGAAGAGACACCCATCTGCCGTGCAGATTATTGTTTAAGATGAAGAACAGCTTTTAAAGGAGATGAAAAGTAAGAGGTCACCTGAGGGTGAAGACCATGGTTAATATTACATGGGGAAGGGGGAGTGGGAAGCAGAATGGCCGTGCTGCTAGGGATGTGTGGGAGCAGCAGCAACAAGAACACCAGAGAAATTAAAGTTACAGGTCATGATCTGTGGGGCATCCCTGTGCTCCAAGCAGCTCAGGCAATTCTGCGCCAGGACTAAGTAGGAACATCTTCCTCTTATCTTGTGAAATAACAAAGGTATTATTGAACTAGTTCAGGAAATGAAGTCTTCAAGGCTTAGAGAAACAAAGCACGACACCTATTTTTCCATTTCTTGTCTAAGTGAAACTCACACCAGCTACAGAAGACTCAATCCAAAAATAAACAACTGCAGGCAAAGAAATAATATGTTCTGAAAAAAACAAAACAAAAACAAACAAAAAACATGAAAAACACCCCCAAAAACACAAACTTAGAAACTTAGCTACACCTACACTTGAGTTTATAAATCTGAATCCTGGAATTGTGAAATTACATACAAGCTGCAATTTTTGTTTATAGCTCTAAAAAATAGAAACAGTTTCTAGAAGTATTCTTAACATAAACAAGTAAATAAGTAAACTTAAAAGTCACATTCTACCCCCACCTTTTTTTTTTAATCCAAATGAAAAGAGGGGGGAAGGGTTGTTAATGAATCTGGAGGATCCTCCCTTAAGAATCCCAAATACTTGTGCTTAGCAATAATACAGTTTAGATCCATGCTCAGCATAAAATGCTATCAAATCAGAAGAGAAATACTATGTAACAATATTATAAGGTACGAAATGGTGACATGATATGCAGAGTAGCAAAAAAAGCCTTTTATTTTCCATTTGTTCTATAACCAATATAGAGCGAGGCAAGTCCAACTTATGTCATTTAACATATACCTTCTATTCATATAACATTTTAATTGGCTCTACATGAATGTGAACTGCTCCCCAAAGAATTCTCAGCACTGATCTATATTAATCAAGATGAATGCCAAGCAGAGGAGGAGGAGGCAGCCACTCGCATCCCTTTTCTGTTCTGTCACAGATGAAGTAAAGCTGAGTTTTATCAGTAAGGTTTAAGTTTCTCCTCCTTGCTTCTGTTCTTTGTAGGTTAAAATTTTGTGGTCTATTGTAGAAGTCTAGAGTGGGCAGAGATTTATCAACAGGCAACATCTTAACATCTTAGCTTTCACTCTCTCAGCTAAGTAGAGGGAATTTTAGCAACTCTATTTCAAAAACTATTAATGAAGTAAATTTACTTATTTTAAAATTAGTATTAGCAGAATCACATAGATTATCTTGACTAGCTTTCTTAGTGTTTGTTTTCCCTACTGTTTGTTTTCCTAACAGATGAATTCCAAGGAAAAACTGAAAATCCCTAATAAGTAGCAAAAGAAGGATAAAAGCTTTATTAATTTCACTCATGTGCAATGAAAACACACATTTAAAAATGTCTTTTAAGAAATTTAGACCTATGTTGTGCCTCACACACAAACACACCAAATAAATAACCAGGTTTTTTTAGGAAGCACTTTCACATGTTCACTCTTTAATGGGCTTATCAGCAATTCACAACAAACTCTGTCTTTCTAGACAAATACCAGCTGCAGCACGTACTGCTGAACAAAATGAGCAAGTCACTAACATCTGACCTTCCAAGCACAGGAGTATTAAAACTGCACCTTGAGGTAAGATAGAATTTTAGAAAGAGCCGTGAATGGCCTTGCTACAGTAGATGTCTATGATGAAGAGACATTTTAGGATGAAAGTCATTTCTCCTGAACCTGTGACAAGCAGCTGAAAAACTGAAGGCCTCCCTTATTTTTGAAAGACAAATGATCTCATCAGCACTGAGTTACTCCAGAAGAATGATATGCCTTAAAATCCATGTGCTGCCCTCCCTTCCTCCCTCAGTCCTCAGAATAGCTTTTGTGTAAAAAGGCCTTGAAACATCTTTGCATTGCAAACTTGATATTTGCTGCTGACAACACACTCTTCTACCAAAATATCTTACCCTACCAAGAGGAGAAAATATCAGAACACCAAAGAAGAGCTTTGTAACAAAGTGAAGCATACACCATGAGTGGAAAACACGATGTAATCTCTTAGATGGTCTAACAACCCCTTAAAATCACTCTGATAGGAAATATTTCCATGAACATAACCACTGTTGCTCACTACCTGTGCAGTGAAAGAATAAGAACATATTGTGAATAAAGCATGGAAATCAAAGATGTATGATAAGAAAGGTAACTAACTCGTCTAACTTTTAGTGATGTTTTTAAACAGGATGTGCAAGTCACAAACTGCAACTCCTCCAACTTTTCCAAGCTCTCAGAAGCTTCATTCAACTCTTAAAACTATGCAGAGATTCAGAATTTCACATATTCTGAAAGCACTTAGGGTTTCTCTAGCATTTTGTTCTCCAGCATTTTAATTATGAAGTGTAGAACTCAACAATCCACAAAAAAAGTCAAAGGTCTGTCCAATCCCATATATAGCTTTATTATAGGCATTCTTCAACATCTACATTGAAATCTTCAAGCCATATTAAAAAAAGAACCCTCCCCTTCTCCCCCCCCCCCCCCACACCACACCTTAGAACCTTATTTCTTACAGGTTTATGACCAAGTACTCCTTAGTCTCCCACGTCCAACCTTCTTCTCTGCTTCAAACTCACACTCAGCTCTATTCTGTGCTGTGTCAATGCTGGTGGGCAACAGCAGCTACGGGGCCTTGTCCCACCTCAGGTTCAGACAGGCCACCCAGCACACCCAGGCTGTGGGCTGCTGCTACCAAACAACACGTAAAACAGACCTGCTCTGTGTACTTACCTTCAGCACAGCACAAATTTGGATCTCTTTCATAAGACCAAATAACTCTATTGTGCAAGTTTTCTACAAAGACTGTCCAAACAGTACCCAGCTGCTGTGTATATCCATCTCTGCTTGTCAGGCCTATCAGAACACCACATACTCGTTACTGCCTGTACTTCTGCATGCCTAATGATGAAGAAACATGTGAGTACTGGTGCTAGCATTGTAGGATGGATATCTAGGTTCTTACCTCATCAGCTCAAGTTGCTTTAATAATCAGTTTGTAGTACACATAATGAAGAAACACCTGTCCATTTTTGCCAATATCACAGAATGGCTGAGGCTGGAAGGGACATCTGGAAATCATCTAGCCCAGCCCCTCTGCTCAAGCGAGCAGGGTCACTGTAAGCATGTTATCCAGGACCCTATCCAGACAGCTTTTGAATATCTATAAGGATGGAGACTCTACAACCTCTCTGGGCAACTTCTTCCAGTGCTCTCATCCTCACAGTAAAAAATGTCTTTCCTTATGTCCAGGTGAAAGTTCCAGTATGGAGCTCTCAATACTCCTCACATACGAACAGCAGTGAATCTAACTCCAAATATGCAGACTTCATGAAACCATTTCAATAGCATGAGTTTCTTCCCCATCACACTCTGCTCACAAGCACCATAATGTACAAATAAGAAAACCTACCACCAAGCATCAGGCTGAGATTTTTACTGGGCATGCTGGAGATAAACAGCATGTGATACATATACAGGTAAACTGCTAAAAAGTCAGCTGTCACTCTTGCACTGAAGCAAAAATCTTCAAGACAATTACCAATAAGGCTAAGGGATGGAAGGAACAACTTAGAGAATTGAGGAGAGCTTGCTGGAATTCTCACCTGTGTTATACCAGCCCATTGAAGAAATTTGCCCCGAGGATGCTACCTACCACAAAGCCTCTAAGGGTGAACATAATGTCAGATTTTTCTTTCCCCCTCAAATTAACATAGGAAGCATAAGCAATACACGATGCTAATGACACTTGGGATTTTCTAA